ACACCGTCCCTGTGACGTTGTGGTTAGGTGCTTCACTGCCGCGTACCTGGGTTGGCCTTGACAAGCAAGGTTGGAAGCCTGCCTCCAGGACGATCTAAATTGTGTCAATGGTAGCGTAAAAACACCTACATTGAGAAGAAAAAAAATCACCACCGTTGGTCGCCACTGTGCAGGGTCCTGTTTTTGAGCTCGAGTTATCATGTAGTGTAGAGGACACGTGTAAGTAACTACACACCTGAATACTGTGTCATTGACACACGTTTGACATTGTAAGCCTGAGCTTACTGAACAGCGTGGAACTTATACTGAACAGCTTTGAACTTATACTGAAAAGCGGACGTTCGCATCTTTAAAAAGTGGAATTGGAAAGCAATGACTTAATTCTGAAGTGTTTACACACACACACACACACACACACATAGACACACACACACGCACACCTGCGCACAGCTTTCGCCGTCCTATTCAACCTCAAAATATCAACGACATTGTTGTGCATACCATTATTATAATAAAAACAAAAAATGAATGAATCAATTAGTCTTATTAATTATTTTTAAAATTTTGAAAATGCCACAGGCTGGATCAAGTGAGAATACACCAAATTATTATAGAATCTCAACACTTTGATACAAATTAGACATGTAGAGTGAATTTCATAAATTTTCCCATACAGCTGTGAGACTCAGATAAAAATGTACAGCAAACTCAGATTCAACGAAAGGGGATGGAATTCCCCAGTTTTTAAAAATTCATTAAAAAATCAACAAAATAAGTCAAGATTCAATGAATACACAAACAAGCAGATTCAGATGCAACACATCCGCTTGCCTGGCGAACAGGCCCTGCTGATGTTATGCCACAAATAACGAATCTTATCTACTCTTTCCCAAGGGACCATCAATCGCACCTGCAACGTGGATAATTACATGCTCAGCCTAGTCTATAGTGTATACCTTATGCCACCAATCAGAAGCTTTCTTCACCACGAAATGTGCCTTGTTGACACATCCGTAAGTCATGATGTGCCTTAGCGTGAGCCGGGGTCGGGAGAGGTCAGATGGCCATGCAGCACATGTGTGGCTATTACTGCATATGTGAGGCATCATGGTGAAATCAGGATTTCATCAAAACGAAATCGGCATTTTTTGGCCAGTTTGGAGGGTTTTTTTTGGCTCAACACCATGTATGTCTATTCAAAAACATTTGTACATGTGGATTTTATGGAAAAACATAGATTAAAAGGTACGAAAAATGTAAATTTGCCATTTCCTAAGACTCTTGACCTATGGAAGTCACCAAACTTTGTCGCCTTTTTCTAGCAAATTCTTTTTCTGAAACCAGCTGACCCCACCGTCATCAATCGCCAATATCTCGACTTCTATTCAAGATAAATGGATATTTTTTTACATCAAATGCAAGGCAAATGAACAACCTTTAAGATGATACCAATAACTCCAAATATCCGAATATTGACAAGTGCCTGATTTCACTACGTTGTGACACATATGTGTAAGGGGGCGGGCATAAGCTTTCCGGGCCTGGAACATCAGTAGAAATTGAGAAGAATTAAAGTCATATTTTTCCACAACTCCCCCCCCCCCCCCTCGGCTTTTGAACAATGATAGACTAGCCTAGATATATATAGGAGTATGTGATTAATTACGAGTAGGTCTGTGGAAACAAATGTAGCCGTATGCTAGGTCTATGCTGTAACGCAACTTTTTGCTCCCATTGCAATAACACTCGGATTCAACAAAATTGAAGGTCAGGTCTGACAATTTCCTTATATCCGAGTTTTACTGTACCTAGAATCTAACACAATTTCAAAAAGTGAAACAGAATACCAATGGCTCAACTCTTGAGTATTTTATATTAATAAAGTTAAAAACCATGAAAAGCCTGCTTCGTCATGCTCTTACTTACTGTAAGTCTAAGCAGTACAGAATTCTATCGTTGTTAAAATGTTTTGGTCCTAAAAGTACGTGGTATCTTCTTAAACATGACACAAACATCATGCCACCAGAATTATACAATACAGTAGAGTCTGCTTAAACCAAATATTGATATCCGAAAACAGCAGTAAACTGAAATAAAATAAAATCCTCGAATTTTGTAAAAAACCTGTCAATTAGCCGAAATGCTCCCATTTTGAAACAGAAAATAATTTCAAGGATTAAGGCGCCAAAATCATCATACTTAGCAACCACCAAGAAATGTGTCATGACGCGGTGGAAACGCGCTCGTCAATTTTTGGGCATGTGGAGTTATTGGTACCATCTAAAAGCTGATTTATTTGCCTTACTTCTAATTAAATAAATATCCATCTATCTTGAACAGAGCTCAAGATATTTGCGATTGAAGGGAGTGATATCGCCTGGTTTCAGTAGTGAAATTAGTGAGAAAATGGCAGTCTAAACTGGTAACTCCAATACCTAAAGAGTCATTGAAAACAGAAAAATGACATATATCATGCTATTAATCAATGTTTTTCAGTAAAATTTACATAAAAATTTGTTTTTATACGGACATCAGAGGCTGAGAAAAAAATAACAATTAGATAAAAATTTCCAGACTGGCGGAAAAATGTATGTTTCTCCGAATTCTGTATTTTCACGAGCACCCGATTTCACCACTCTGCCTCACAAATGCAAATTGTCAAATCGTTCACGCTTCTCAACAGAAAGAAACATGACAACAAATGGGTGTCTATTTCTGGCCAGAGAGAAGCATCGCTATTACAGTGTGCTATTTCTCTACGTGGTTGGAAGCACATGTTCTGGTAATGTTTGGCTTAGATTTTGGTGTTCCTCGGGGGTCTGTTCTTGGACCTGTCTTGTTTACAATGCATACACAACCTATTGCTGATATTTTAAGATAATATGGCATGAATTACCACCTTTATGCCAATGACACTATATATACAAGTCTATTGATTTTGATCAAATACCACCTCTAGTTGACTCCACTGAGCAATGTATTCGGGAATTAAAAATATGGATAAACAGTAACTGATTGAACTAAATGATGACAAGACAGAAATAATGTTGAGTGGAAATACAAAAGCCATTAGAAATGTTCCAGAACTACAAATTTATATCAATAACCATACCATTTGTTCAACAATAAGTCTTAAAAACCTAGGAGTTCAATTGGATTATGATATGTCTATGTCCTCCCAAAATAGCCAGCTGAGCAAAGGTATCTATTTTCATCTTAAGAAAACTGGCAGTGTAGGAAATCATTTAACCCAAGCAGCAGCCAAGACATTAGTAACAACACGGATTTTATCAAAATTAGATTACTGTACTGCTATTCTATCCAGTTTGATGACCGAAAAACTATCAAAGTTACAAGTACTCCAAAATCAAACAGCAGAATGGATATTGAAACAGAAGAAATCAGTGCACGTAACATGAATTCTGAAAGAACTACACTGGCTGCCAGTAAAAAAACGGATCAAATACAAAACTGTTGTTTTCTGTTTTAACTGCATAAATTATACTGTACCTATTTATTTTTTTAAAAATTCCTGGAATTATATCATCCACCCAAAAGCCCTTCGATCAGCCTCTGATAATCTAATTCTTAAAACTCCAAAACAAAATTACAAAACATACGTCGGGCGTTCCTTTTTTTTCTTTAGTCCCCAGGTATGGAACGAACTCCCACATAAAATAGGATGTGCCCCAACAATTTACATTTTCAAAACACAGCTGAAGCATTTCTTATTCACAAATACATACTACATACCTGTCATAATGATGAACTGTTATGCATGTGTATGCCAGACTGTGAGACTGGAGAAATAGCGTGTGAGAGAGAGAGAGAGAGAGAGAGAGAGAGAGAGAGAGAGAGAGAGAGAGAGAGAGAGAGAGAGAGAGAGAGAGAACAGAAGTGTTTTTCTATTTATAGAGAACAAATGTGTCACGACGTGGTCGAATCAGACACTCTTCAATATTTGGAATTATTGGTATCATCTTAAAGACTGTTCATTTGCCTTGCATTTGATGAAAAAATATCATTATTTTGATGAGCACCTGATTTCACCATGATGCCTAACAAATGTTTTAACGAACCTGTTACCTGTCCTGGGCAACAACATCACTGCACACTGGACAGGTCCATAAGTGCTCAGTTCCCCCCAGCACCAAAGCCCGCAAGGTATCCATACTGATTGTTCCAGTGGCTGTCTGTTTTAACGAACGTTTCTAGTTATTCAAGTTCCAATTTTATTGAGACCGTGATTTTCTATAACATTGTTTATTTTTTAATGAACGCATTGCCAAGCTCACTGCAAGACTGTTTTTCTCATAGAAAAATTTATATATACTGTGTTTTACATAAACACATGTCAATGAATTTTTAAGATGTGATGTTTTTTTTGATGTAATGCGCATTGAACATTTTTTAAAGAAAATGGACATATGCAGCATAAATGCTATCATGTTTTTCACACTTCAAACAAATCAATGGGGCCTACACATCGTGTAAAAGCCTAATGAAGTAAGTCGCGAATGTAGGACTACATCTGTTGTACGACCTTGCAGCTGAAATTGTCTTCACTGAAAAAGGTAGATGAGAAAAATAAAACAACAAAACCTCCAAAAAATTAAGTTTGCCGCAAGCATGGCATTTCCAACACTATGCCGTTGACCATCATCCCTTTTTGCACAACCATAGACTCTAAACCGAAAACACAGCTAAATCAAAGAAAATCCTGTGTTTTCGCAGACTTTGGTTTAAGCGGACTCTACCTCCATTGTATAGACATCCGCGTTAGTGGACACTTTAGTAAAATAAAAGTGAACAATTTGTGTCCCTGGAGAGAGGTCCCAGATGTTGGCAAAGCTATTTTTTAGCACCGAGGTGAAAAGGTTAAAAAAATAGTTCCTTGCCAAAATTTGAACGGACAGAAAACCTACATTAATTTGTTAATAACATATTGAAAGGGTGCTATCATATTTTAAGTCTAAATATTTTTCAGTTAGTTATTTTTGCAACATGTTATACTTCACCAAATGTTAAAAATGTGCTAGAAATTGCGATTTACATCAAACTTTGTTTTTACACCCTGTGTAAGTGTGTACAAAATATGGCATATCTTTAAAACTACTCATTCAGCGTATTCGGCATTGTATTTGCGAAAAAAATATGCTCCATATCCAAAATCTCTGACAACTGGGACTTCTCTCCAGGCACACACACAAATATGTTTATCAATATAAACATAAGCAATTGCAAGTCAGTTTAGTGCTGCTGATAACTCTGGTTCCCCCCATTAACGTGGTAGGTTGCCCCACGCATTTGAGGCACTGGGGTTGTTCTATGATGAAGTTGTCACAACAGATGAGCTCCTTGTCAAAGATCCTAACTGAGCTTCAAATAAAACATCAGAAATCAGCTTTTCTGCGTAGATTTGTTGCTCGGTAGTGAGTCTTCTTAGTTTGTGAGCAACATTTTTGCCGAAGTTGTCGTGTTCGTCATCATTGGCAGGATTGAGAAGTCTGAGGCAAGCAGCTTTGATGAGCTCATCGTCGTTGGTCTTCCTCTTCTTCTTATGCAGTAGAGCTTCTGAAACTTCTGGCATAAGCTGTTTGTAGACAGTGGGCAGCTGTGAATGCTGTGACTGTGATAGTGATGTCAAGGTTTCTGCTGATGGCGGCTCTTCCTTTACATCGAGAAGCGACATTTCTGACCCGGCCTTCGGTGACAAAGATTCCTGGGGTGAGAAAAATGGTCATATTTTAGTAAGTTTAGAAAAACATTTTCAGCGCTCTCAACTACACAATGTCATACTTTCAATGTTTAGTCAAGTGGCATACAGAGAAAGTAACTCATCATTCATCCCTTGTTGCAGTAATATACATATTTTGCCCACACAGCTTGCAAACAAATCCTTTGTTTCAATCAAGTCACTCGTCAGATGCCGCTCGTTCCACGAGGAATGTTACACACCCCATGACTTTAACACTCACCACACTCACACAGAAAAGTCATATGTATCCCAAAATTTCTAACAAAATAACTGGGACAATGCAACAGCAATTTATTGATGGTGGTTACATTGACAATCAAATCGACGAAGAAATAAAAGAGATTCAATATTTGATTTGTGCTGTTGACTATAGATGCTACGTTCTTTCAAAAAGATTACGATTTTTATGTTTTAGATCTTGGGCATCCTAAAAATCTTGTGGTACTTCTTCAGTTTTAAAACATAAGGCCTACGATAATTGAGATGTGCTCACAGTCCATCATCCAATGACGAATGGAAGACAAACAACATTGACAAGATGGACAAGTGCATTACATAGTGAGTGACTTGCACAGAGATAGAAAAGCATTGACTGATGTCACATGACCTCCTCTGTGTGGTCAGCGGCTAACGGCGAATGACGAGTAACTTAAAACAAATATATGACAGGAATTTTCGGCTGCTCATATCAAATGCCCAACCTGGCTGTGCGACACCTCTCTTATCCCTTTTATCCCATGATGTGTACATTAGCGACGAGTGACGACGAGTGATGACGAGCAACAAGTGGTGAACGACTCACATCAATCAGCAAACTACTTTCTCTATTTAACACCTCACTTAGTCAGTCAAACATAACATGAGATGCTCGATCACCATCATCATCAATGCCTTTCACCCCTGGCAGTGTATAGGCCACATACAAGCTCCTTCCATTTATCTCTGTCCTAGGCCATCCTTCGAAGCTCTTTCCAAGTGAGCTTCATCTCTCTCATGTCCCTTTCCACGCATCTCCTTCATGTTTCCTGTGGCCTACCGCTGCCTCGTGCTCCTTGTGGGTTCCACTGCAGTGACTGTCTTGTGATGTTTCCGCTGGGCTTTTTTAAGGTGTGTCCCATCCATCACCACTTTCTTAGTGCTCTCTCTACTGATGCTCGATATATAATCTTTATTGTTTTGTTTCAGCTCCCTACAAGTGAATAGCTGCATGAGGCAAAGTTGCTTAAACAAAAATGGCAGTTCCCAAATTTCCTTGGCGAAGTCGGTGACAAACACCTCTCTAGTACCAGCTCACCTCCTGCATCTGGATCATACTTCTACGAAGGGTTCAAAATGGTGGAAAAATGATGAAATGGTATAGGTATATCCCCCATATAAACACTAGTAGTTTATTTAAGAAGCAAGACCTTCGAGTTTGAGGTCCATCTCCGAAAGGACCAAATCAGTTGTGACTAATCAGAGTCTCAAACCCCTGAATCCGCAATCTCATGATTACGAGTTGCGTAGCCTAACCACTAGGCCACCGACACCACAAAGGGTTTGATAATGTGGAGCTAACGGCCATGGCAAATGCTGACTATGAGTTTTTGTGTGTCCATTTTAGCTTATAAATATAATATATGGACGTGTGTCAGGTGGGGGTGTCCAATAATACAGACGACTATGGGTGAATTGCTATCGTCGGAGGGAGTGAAAAAAAGATCAGCTCATCTGAAGATCAACTTAACCGTTGGGACCACAAAATCAAGGGACACAAAGATGTTAATCTTTTCCACTATTCATACATAGTACACAGATTTTTACAACAAATTGCTTAATGGCTCATTGAATCTACCAGGACTCAGTCAAATCAATGTTCTTCGGAGTGTATTTATATCAGATGAAGCATATTCACCTTGCAAGAGAATTTTATGAAACCGTTCAATATCAATGGTTGTCAAGTTATTGAACAAAGAGAAGAGAAGGGAATCTGTTTTGGTAAGACATGGAATCTCGAAAAAAAAAAAAGACATTAAAAACATTCTTAACTACTAACTGAGTCCTGAAGAGTCAGTAGCTGAAAATCCTTTTCTCTTGGTCCAGCATCTTGTGACACTTTAATTATCTGAAGCCTTAGAAAAAAGTGACATTGTTGAGGTCACTTGCTGTTTGTTACATTATGATTACATGGATTCATGAGGAAAAAGTTAAGCAATTGATACACCCTAACTGACTTTCAACTCTCAAGATACCATTTTTTTTTAAGTTGATGTTTTTTCGCTCAACGTCAGAACAATTTAAAGCATTTAGGAGACGTGCTCCCAAACAAGTCTATCAGGGCCAACCCACAGTGAAAGGGACACAGTAAATGAGCAAAAGGAACGAGACACTCCATAAAGAAATGTCCCCCTACTCAGAAATTGAACTTGGGTCTCCTGCATGCGACAGCAAAGTGTCATACTGCTATACCACAAATGCCGGTCTGAAGACACCTGTACCATAAAATGCATGATGGCTTGAGAGCTGTCGGTCAAAACGTTCCTGGGATTTCTATGGAGCAGAGTAAAACTGCATCTAAGGAAGCTTAACTCACCAGAGAAAGGATTATTTCAATACAGAAGGGAAACAATCCTGGAAGGATGAGTATTTGCACAGATAAGTCCTTGCCAAGGTGTACTTTCAACTCACACAGATGTATCATATTGCATTGGATAGTACAGCAAGAAGTAGAGAGAGTATAGTAAAGAGAAGGGAAAATAATGAGTAAACAGTCAGTTGATGGATGGATGTGAGCATAAGTGTGTGTGTGTGTGTGTGTGTGTGTGTGTGTGTGTGTGTGTGTGTGTGTGAGAGAGAGAGAGAGAGAGAGAGAGAGAGAGATTAAAGAGAGAGAGACAGAGAGAGAGATAAAAGAGAGAGAGAGAGAAAAAAAGAGAGAGAGAGAGAGAGGGAGAGAGGGAGAGAGAGAGAGAGAGAGAGAGAGAGAGAGAGAGAGAGAGAGAGAGAGAGAGAGAGATATGAGAGAGAGAGAGAGAGCCGTGTAGTAAAAACAGAAAATGACATTAAAGACACTGCAGTACCGATAGAAATATACACGAACCGTACCTCCATGTCTGTAGCCTCAATGGAAAATGAAGATGGATACTCATAACTTTGTAGATTCGAACTTCCAGCACTCGGCATATCTTGGTCCTCAAGGAACATTAGGTTGTGGAAGTACCAAAGTGAGGGCTCATAGACTTCATCAGATCCCATCCCTGATTGCTTTGAGTTCTCATGCTTTTTCAGTTCTCTCTTGAATGTTGTTCTGAGATTGCTTATTTTTTTAATCACAAATTCTTTATTTGCTTCTGGATGAAACGGTTTGCAAAATAACACGAGTTCTTCGTATGCCCTCTCTCGCATTAAATTGTTTCTGTAGTCTTTGGACTTCATCTTCCATAGGCATTCGTGGAATTTGTACATCTCAATAAAGTTCAGAACTGTGTCTCTTGACCAGGTCGTCATACTCATACTACTGTATGGTGGCTGAGAAGTGGGTAAAGGAAGAAGCTTTGGCTGCAGATGCCCAACACTCTGGGTGACCTTGAAAGCCTGGAAAAGATATGAAACTGAGACTTCAGTTTCACCATTGATCATCAATTAAAAAGCAAAATTGATTATTAAGATGATTAAAGTTTAAAAATATTGCATTAAATCAGGTTCCTGGTGACCCGCTTTGCTTGTTTTGATACACCGATTCCAAAACTGAAATCAAGTTTTATAGCTGTGAAAATTATCCTTTTAATTTCGCACCCTAAGTTTAGTCTCTCGAGGCAGCAAATTTCAAAGGGACTCTGTGTACCAGCGCCTGAACGAATCTGACCAAAATCGAACAAAAAAATATCAGGCAGTGCTTAATTCTTGAGTGGGTCTCTAATTCACCATCCAGTTGTCAAATTTCAAAATAACTTCATGGCTTCACATAAAAATTTGTCATTGTCTCATGAACGACAGATTGTCCATTTTTTGCACAATGTATCGTTAAACGTACTTGGACACAAAGGTGTAAATGTCATGTAATTGTTTACTTCTGTCTGACCAAGGTTAAAAAAACATGATAAAAACAAACTGCTCTGTTTTCGTCACAGGTCTTTGCACGCCGCTCTAAAAGTTGGACGACCAAAAAATGTCAAAGCCCACTAACCCTATTACTGGCAAAAACCAATTAGATTTGCTGTCATGGCAGATCTTGTCTGTTAGTGCCGATCAGCATATTTTATGAAATTGCAGATAACAATGATTGAAGTACAAGCAAGGGTGAACAAGGAAAAGAAGTATTTTTCACCTTTAGAACTCACGTGTGTTATGAAGCCATTGAAATTAATCTATTCATAGGATCTTCATTAGAGACTCAGAGTATGCAAATAAAATCGTAAAAAGTGTCATCTGCATTTTACCACGGTCTTTGAATCGGGTTATTTTTGACGAGTCTAATGATCATATTGCCATGCCAAATGGTGATTCTGATGGGGAAACATCAGAAATTGATTTTAAAAAAGAGAAAAAAACCTGTTCATACTTTCAATTTCAAGATGAAGACCACTTCTGAAAGTAGAATAAAATTTAGCACTGGGCTCCATCACTCTCAATACATCACCCCTGCCTAACCCCCTTCGACAGCTGTGCCTAGTCTATGCCATCCACTGATTCAGATACTACTTACTTATAGTAGTAGCACTAAAAAGAGGATTCTGAAGACAACAATGGTTTTGAAAATCACATTTGTTTTGCTTTTATTTCTTTTTTGCGTGAATTTCCTGGGTAATCTTTGAGGGCAAAAATCAGTACATTCACAAATTGGTTTCTTACATTGAAAATCTTAAATATAATAAACCACACTAAGTATACTTTTCTGTAATTTTATAGGAAGAGGCTAGCCGTACGACTTAATGACGGCTAGACTAGTCGTACTTAACACTATCCCCACGGCCCAGGACACAGATGCGGTTCATGCTATATCACACCGTCGCCGAGTGGCGTCCCGTGGGGAAAAGGTCCTGCTTCTTACCGTCGCCGATTGGTGTCCCGATGGGGGCAAAGTGTTAATGACAGCTAGACTATCCGTACTTAATAATGATGACTTGACCGACAAGAAGCAAAAAAATACTGAATTGAAGATCTAAATAAAATTTTAGTTTGCAATACCTAAAGTATTTTTGAGACGAAACAAGAAGGTGCCTTACTGACAAGCATGTATTTTAAACCTGAATAATTACTAATGAGACCTTACTCAACAGGTTTCGGTCTATTGGGCTTAACCTAAGTGCGGCTAGACTGGCAGGCTAGCCTACTTAATAACGATGGCTAGACTGACAAAAAGAAAAAAATACTGAACTGTAAATGAAATTTCAGTCTGCAGTACTTGAAGTGCATTTCCCATGAAACTAAAAGGTGCCTTACTGACATGCTTTTTAAACCTGAATAATTACTAAAGAGACCTGTGTACTCAACAGGTTTCGGTCAATAGGGCCTAACCTAAGTACGGCTAGACTGGCAGGCTAGTAGTACTGCAAGCCACTTCGAATTTTATATTTAACTTTTACCTTTCGAGTTCTAAAACACACACTAATTTTCTTTAATCTCAGACACTTGGAAAAGTAATTGGGTATGACGGTCACTGCAACTAAGATTCCAACACATTTTCTTTGATCTGGGTGAAAAAAATAAGAGGGGATTTACCGCATGCACATAAAACATAAAAAAGTCAACCTACTTTCATGAAAAACACACAGTAACGCGCACATCTATGAAACATGTGAAAAAAAAAAAAACTTGTGTACAAGTAAATAAGTAATTTGCAGGCGAAACTTCAAAGTTACGGTAAAAATCATTTATTGTAGAATTCTTGTTCACCGATAGAGCGGAGTTTAATACTGGACCCCAATGGAGAAACTTTTTATTACTTGGTTGAATGTTATAGATAGATATGTGTCACAACGTGAGGAATCAGGCGCCCGTCAATTTTTGGGCATATGGAGTTATTGGTATCATCTTTAAGCTTGTTCATTTGTCTAGTTAAGAATGAAAAAAAAAATCCATTTATCTTTAATAAAAGTCAAGAAATTTGCGAATGAAGGAGGTGGGGGTCACCTGGATTCAGAGGTAAAATTAGTGAGAAAATGGCCACCATAGATGAGTCATTTCCTTAGCTTGAGAGTCCATGGAAACTGAACATTTACTTTTTTGTGCCTTTAATCAACATTTTAAAGTAAAAATCCACTCAGAAATGTGTTCTTTAATGGGCATGAAAGGTGTTGAGCCAAAAAACCAAAATTCGATAAAAATTTGCAAACATTCGGAAAAATGCCAGTTTCTTGGCTTGATTACTTTGACAAGCGCCTGATTTCCCCATGCTGCATCACATATACCTTTGTGTCGTCCCACAGGAATGCCATGTAGTTTCATGTGCATTAACCTAATTGAAAGTGAACAAGCTAAAGCATAAACTTTATGGTATATCACAAAAGCATTTCAAATCTCGTGGGCGGGGGGGCTACACTTTGACCATCTATGCATTTTTCCACGTTTCCTTTCCTACGTTGTCTGAAATCTGCTTACCAGGGAAAAGTTCTCTGGCACCCAGCAGTTCATGTTATCAGATTATTACTACTGTATCTTGAAAGTATCCAGATACTGTCTGCTTGCTCTACAAAAAGTGTACGGGTGTGGGACACCCAGTTGGTGTGGTACTGGCAGTATGTAGTAGAGCTATGCCCATTCGATTTCACTATTCAACATTCATAATTTTTGCACTATTCACAGCCATTCGAAGCATGGCAAAGCCATTCAAAGGCTGAGTGATTTTTTTCCATTTTGGATTTCTTTTAACTTTTCTCAACCCATGGTAAAATCTAAGCATAATAAATTATCTAAATTAACTGAGGTAAATTCAACGTTATGATCCAGTTGATGATTACGGGACAGAGTGATAAGAGGAACCAGTAGGTGTTATAAAACATGCCTCTAAAAGGCACTCGTGATGCCTTTAATAACTCAATAAACCATCGCTTCAAAGCGCAACCGGAGATTTTGCATACATTGCATCAATGCAAACTGAGTTGTCTTTGCACGATTCGACTAGGCCAGGGCAAGATCGACAGCAAAAAGACTTGAGGTCTCGATTCCAAAACTGAAAAAGAATCAAGGAATCGAGTCCGATTTTCGAGTTCGGAAGCTGCTTCAAGTGGACTGTTTAGAGGCCATGACTTGAACACTGCTAAAAATAGCTCTTAAGATCGAGACCTCGAGTCTCGAACACTGTTAAAAATAGCTCTTAAGATCGAGACCTCGAGTCTCGAGTTTGAGAGACGTGGCTGGCTAAGCCTGCGTGCGTGCCAAGACAAGTTGGCTTTCACACATTTGTGTGTGTGTGTTTGTGTCGTGTGTGTTTGCACGCATGTGTGTGTGTGTGTGTGTGTGTGTGTGTGTGTGTGTGTGTGTGCTTGGGTGTGTGTGTGTGTGTGTGTGTGTGTGTGTGTGTGTGTGTGTGTGTGTGTGTGTGTGTGTGTGTGTGTGTGTTGCCTCCCTTCTATCACTATTGCCAATGCATGGGGCACAGGCTCCTTCTCTCTTGCACCCTTTGCTTCCTGATATGTCAAAGCATGCTTATAAAAAAAAGTCCCAAGCTAAAGATCGACGTCCAGACATGATGACTCATTGATGTCAACTCAAAACACACAATACGATTTACAAAAGAATACGTGTACAGTGAAGATGGAAGTGCAGTGAAATTCAAAAGCAAGCGCTCAATGTTCAAGACAAAAGAAAGAGAAAAGGGAAGTGAATGATTTAATTTGGGATGGGCGGGGGTGGGGCAACAACATTTAAAGTAGCAGTAGCCTATGTGCAGCGTGGTTTCGTACTGGGCTATACGGTAGACATGACAAGTAGGCCTAGGCCTAGTTTAGCATTCACTCATAGCGGGGAAGAGGAAGAGGAAGGTGGGGTGGGGAGGGGGGTTGCTTGAGACAATTGATAGTGACTGACTGGCAGTTTCTTGCCCCTACCTCCCTAGGCTTATGAAAATTCGCCCAGGGACAGACCCGTCTGACGTTTGAAACCTTTGAACTTGAGTGTAATGTACCGCACCTATTATTGGGACGTGACATTTTTGTTGCATTGAGTCCCAAGCAGTTGTGAATTGCTACAAGATCGGTGGGACAGTACGACCTAATACTGTTTTCTCTTTCTCTTTTTTCTAATACTAAGCAACAGAGCACAGGCACATGCAACCTTGATTCATCCACCTTGAAGACACAGTCTTGAATCTACATGTATCAAGACCTAGTGCACACCAAATTCAAATAGTGAAAAAAACAACATAAGTAAACAAAACTTACAAAAATTAATTTAACTTGGTAATCGGGCATTAAATTGGGTTCCCCGTGTAATTTTTGCTAATTTTGGGTCGCTGATCATGAAAATCTTATTATATTTTAAATTTGGCCAATATTTAGGAACATTTTTGGAATGCATTTTTAACTCCGAGAAGCCGCCTTATGCGCCGGATCAGTCCTGTCCTGGTGCGGTGTCTGTTTTGAAGCGAAAAACTC